ACAAGGAACATCACCCTAAAATTTCAGCCTTCCAGCTCTTCTGGTTGCCGAGTTAGTAATTTTCCTTCAAAAACTTTCATACGCCTTTACGTGAGTACCACGCACAGCTGGGGGGCTGAATTTGAAATGAGTTGTACTTTGATAGGGAACATTCCGCCAAAATTTCAGCTTTCTATTTCCTGGTGCCCGAGTTAGCAATTTTCCCCCTAAAACTTTCAAACGCCCTTGCGTGAGTACCACGCAGACCTGGAAGCTGAATTTGAAATCTTTAGCTAGTACGTGCGCAGGGAATTTCCCTACAAAGTTTCAGCTCCTTAGCTCATGTAAATTCCCAGATAGAGTTCCCGCCAAAAAATCTGCATATTTTTTTAAAGCGTCCGTGCGCGGCACCCAGGCGTCCACGGGGGATGAAATTAAAGCGGGAGGGTCACGCATGGTATAGGCACATATCCTCAAAGTTTCAGCCTTCTAGCTTTTCTGGTTCTCGAGTTGAAAGTGGGTGATAAAAAGTGCGAACACACAGCCACACACACACACACACACACGCACATACACACACACACACGCACACACACATACACACACAGCCTCTTCCCAAAATGCGTTTTTGAAATTTACATATATGCATATATATAGTGTTCCCCGCCAACGGGTGACGCGGCAAATTTAAATTCGGCCTTCCCGTACCCGCGGGTAACTCGTACGGCCCCGTGAAAGTTTTTTACGGGTAGGCTGCTAACTCGAGAACCAGAGAAGCTGGAAAGCTGAAATTTAAAGGGGAAATTCCACATTCCCGTAGGTGTTAATGAGCTTCAGCCCAGACACCAAGTATGCGTGTTTCCCACTTACGGGCTCGTGAAAGTTTTTTTCAGATAAGTTGCTAACTCAGGAACCTGAAAAGCTGGAAGACTGGAATTTTAAGGTGATGTTCCCCGTCCAAGTAGGTATTAATGAGCTTAAACCCAGCACTCGGGTATGCGTCGTTCCAAGTACGGACCCATGGAAGGTTTTTTCGGGTAAGTTGCTAATTCGGGAATCTGAGAAGCTAGAAGACTGTAGTTTCAAGGAGATGTTCTCCGCCACATATGTATTAATGAGTTTAAACCCAGCCCCTGGTATGCATAGTTCCTATGTAGGGGACCGTGAATTTTTTGCGGGTAAGTTGCTAACTCGAGAACCAGAAAAGCTGGAAAGCTGGAATTTTAAAGGGATGCTTTCTGATAGACCTGCAACCAGTATCAATTCTTTTAACCAGAAGCATTTGCCGGGAAAACCAGTATCGTTATCGACTAAAATCTACGAGAACTATGCAAAAAACGTATCTTCGCACCCGCAGTCGTTGCTCTGGCCATTTATTTATTATTTGTTATTATAGCTTATTAGATCAATTACTATAATACATTTACACCGGCTATCTTAATTTAAGATTAAAAGAAAATTGTGTAAATGCTGTTGAAAAATATAAGAAAGGATGATAGAAAAGATAAGAAAGGATGACAGAAAAGATAAAAAGGAACGATGTGGAAAAGAAGTATTAAATTAGGTAAGAAATGTTTCGGCCCATTAAGTCGTATACATTTCTTACCGCTACCACAGTTGGACCTTGTCAGTACAACGACTGTGGTAACAATTATAATTTAGTTAAGAGTAAGAAATAATTAAGATGGGGAAGATATAAATGATGGTAATGATGTTAAATATGGAAATTGGAAGGAATGAAATGATTGCAAGAATTGGAAGCTCTTAAAGAGATAGGAGAAAAGTAAGAATAAAAGGTAAAAAAATTTTATAAAATAGGAAAATCTAATTGCTTTTACCTGTTCATTACACATTGTTCCATAATTTGATCCCCATAAACTAAACCACAATCTAATCTTACGGTGTTTGCCATTTTGCTATATTCATACGTGCTCGTGAAAATTTTTGCCGACAGATGAAACAGCAATTTGCACATCGAGGCAGTGAAGAAAGTCGTGCTTCTGAGCGATTTGCTGCCAGTAGGTATTTATTGCGAACAGAATTGGGCCGTGGTACTTCTTTTTTAAATTATAGGGGTTGATTGGTCGTTCGGGTTTTTGTCGAGAGGTGGTGCATCTTAGCCTGGATGGTACCGAAGGCTGAGGAACTGCGCTCTTTGCCCTCAAATTCGTGTAGAGAAAATGGGAAAAAGAAACAAATCATTGGCGACGCGCACCACGCGGATCCGTGCGATCATGCGGTTTTACAGCATTTTGTGTTGCAGCAAAGTCGCATGAAATCCCAGTAGCTAGAATTTGTGATATACTGGTGCTCGAAGTTCAGAAGGTTAATTGTGCAAAGACGTGTTTGTTGGACGGTGAACATTCCGTTAAAATTTCATTTTCCCAATTTTCTTGATCCGCGAATTAGCGACTTTCCCGTCAGAAACTTCCACGGAGTCGTACGTGAAGGCCACGCATACCCGGGGGCTGAATTTGAGATCTTTAAGTTACCTGTGGTCTGGAAACATCCCCGTAAAATTTCAGCCTTCTAGCTTTCCTGTTTCCCGAGTTAGCAATTTTCCCGCCAAAAGCTGTCCCGAGTTAGCAGTTTTCCCGCCAATTTTCCCAAAAACAAAAAATCGGTTTAAAAGAGGGGAGTTTAGCCAAGGTGACGTAAAAATTGGCCAAAAATCTTCAGTTGGCTTTAGAATTTTTTACGGAATGGGATAAAAACGATCACAAAAACAGGAAATTGGTCCTGGAGATATTTGATTTACAGGTACCAATCGCTTTAACCGTTACCTTGAAGCGGGTTGATTAGGAGGCTCGAAAGGGGGCAGGCTTCTTATTTTTACTGAAATCTGTGTGGGAGGATTATTTCGTCCAGGGTTTGTGTTTCCTTCCATATTTATTTCAGTAAGTTGCCGAAATTTGGATTGATGTGCGCTGTATCAGCACATCCGGTGATGGGCTTTGTCATTGCCGTGTAGACCTTCTTTTGCATATATTTTACCCGGGTGCATTGATCAGCTGTTGTTTCATCGTCGTTGCATTTTCTCTCGCCACTGATGCTGTTGGCATCTTCTCCATTCTTCTCTGTTTTGCGTCTCTCTCATCCACATAATTCCATATAGTCGTTCAAGTAGTCCTAGCCGGACTGTATTGGAATTCACCGAATTTTTCAGCGAATTTTTTATTTTTTTTTAAATTGCTTGGGCTAAAAATCCAACAAATTTTTTACTTTTTTTTAATTGTTTGGGTATTGTTTTGTTATTCAGCTTTGTCCATTTTCTTGGTTTTCATCTTTACCACTTTGCCAGCTCAGCTTTACTTTTTGATCCATATTTCTTTGACAAGATCGCTCATAGCACGCCAAAACCGTAGTGTATCATTGGAAACGTGCTGTAACTTACTGATACCCACCTCACGTGGCTCATTGCTAATTTTTCCTACTCAGCAAAAGTGGTATTCCATGTTTCACTTTATCGATAAATACCTTGGTATTTTGTTGCCGAAGAAGCATCGCAAAATTATTATTTCACTCTTTTTTTCACATTTTTTTTTATCACTCAACGTGTTTTAAGGAATTACTGTGTTCTTTGGTAATGATTTTGACACATTTTTATTTATTAGGCCTTCTTCGGCATGTTTTTTTCCTCAGTGTTACTTAAAACCGTGAAATTTTTGTGGTTGAATGATGATGAGAAAACGACAGGCACATTGTGTTTATTTTTTTTTTTTTTTTCAGAGCACTGGCATCGCGATCTGCTGAAGACAGGCAAAGTGTAAACGACAACTGGGGATTACCACCGGCGGTGCCAGGATCGCTGGCAACAGTACTCGAAAATTTACCATTGGTTTATGATACGAATACGAAAAATCTCCAGCAAGCAACCGCAAATGGTACTTCTTTTCATGCCTACTTTTTTTTAATTTTTTCCAGGCCTAACCCATGGTAAATGCAAGACTTCAGCGCAACTGCGTACACCAAGTGGATAGCAGAAACTCTCTTTGTATGAGGTTCGAAGCAGCTACTGCTGGAGTGGCGATGGTACGTGCAGTAAAGCACAAAACATGACTGGTAGGAGGCTGTAC